TTCTTTTGTACTTTTCATTATTTGTAAAATGTTGAGCAACTGTTATGAGTACAGCTTATGCTGTGGGCAACACATGGTAATTCTTATTTGCTGCCTTGAGGAAATTATCTTTGGGAAGATAAGATCAACACATATTAGAATTTCCTGATCATATGAATTAAATGACAAAGCCCACAGAAATAAATTATTAATGCCCAATAAAGTTAAAGCATTTCGTATAGAGAAAACCCCTGGAATCTACATGCATTTAGTAGATTAGTGAAGGTTTCATGGAGAAGGATGAAAATGGTCTGTGCCTCAGACGATGCTAAGGAGTTATAGCAGGGAGGCCAAGTAGTGTTTTTGCAATTGTACTAAAGCAGGAATGAGGCCAGTGTTTTCTGAGAGGAAGTGTACCAGTTGGTCTAAAGAATAGGATGCAGTTTCGTTTGAAGGATAGTTGAAGATGAGAGGACAAAGAGGGTTCAGATTATGGGAGTCTATTTAATAAGACTTTGGAGCCATATTTGGAGATATGACTCATTCTATATGTTGAAAACCCTCAGTTGGAGCTGGAGATTGGGGGATGGACCCAGTCAATATTATTGATAGGAAATCTTAAGTAGAGTTCAGAATGTGGTTTTGGAGAATATGATGGGTGTAGTTAGGGTGATCAACAGTCCTGGTTTGCCCAGTACTCTCTCAGTTTTAACTGTGAAAGCCCCATGTCCTGGGAAACCCCTCAGTTGCAAGCAAAGCAGATGGCTGGTCACGTTAGGAATAGTTCAGACGGGTGACTGGGATCGAAGGTCCAAACCAGAGTGACGCATTAGTGTGTTAACAAGAGAACAGAGCGTGACAACCAGAAATCCAAAGTAATTCAGAGCTCTGGTAGGCAGTCAGTGGAATTAAATTATATTTTGGCTGAGAGCAATTTGGCCAAATGAAATTTAGTCAAAAGCAGCATTGTCATAGCAACTTTATGTGGCACTTGGGTTGAAATAAATTTTGAAAAACAGGACTGTTTTAACCACTGTCTTTCAAGTTTTATATCATGATGAAACAATAATAATAATAATAATAATAGCAGAGCTGCCATTCATGAATGCTTATCATATGCCAAGCACCTTACCCGATTTTACAAATATTCTTTTAATTCTTACAACCAACAAGCCTGTGAGATAAGCATTGTTAATTTTCTTCATCTTGCAAATGAGGAAACTGGTGGTTTGAGACTTTGAACCCTGGCTGGCCCAAAGCCTGTGCTGTTTAGTCCCTATGAAGTACAACTTCAGGGTATCAAGAACCAGGTCTGTTTATTATTTATTGTAACACCTGTTAATTCTAGAAACACTGTAACGTATGGACTAGCAGAAGATTCTGCAAAATACTTAAAATTATCCCTTAATTATCCATTAATATGTTTGTTTAGATCTTTTTCTTCGTGGGGGCACATTGTATGTATGTGTTGTATATATGTACACACATACACACACACACACGTATGACATATATATTTTTTCCCATCAAAATTACATTTGGTAAATTTTAAAACCAATTGCTAGGTATTTAATTTATTCCAACTTCTGTTGTTGGACATTTAGGCTATTGCAGCTTTTTGATGCTACAAACAGCTAGCAGTACAAATAATTAGCTGAAAATGATATACAAAAATGAAGCAAAATGAAACAAGACTAAGAAACAAATTCAGAATATTGGGCAGTAATGCAGGAGATGGATAACAATTGTAACACCACTCACTCTGTGTTGTATCCTGATTACCAACACAATGAAAACCACTGGCTGAGGAATATTTGCTTTTGGGGTGCCTGAGTGGCTCAGTTCGTGAAGTGTGGGACTCTTGGTTTGGCTCACGTCGTAATCGCAGGCTGTGAGATTGGCTTCCTATCCTGTGGGGCTGTGAGCTCAGTGTAGATTCTGTTTGAAGGTTCTCTCCCCCTCTACTCATGTTCTCCCCCTACTGGTGCTCACACACACACTCTGTCTCCCTTTAAATTAAATAAATTTTTTTTTTTTTAAAAAGGAATATTTGCTTTTGAACAGGTCATCATGTTGAACAACCTTCTTTCAGCCAAAGCATTTTTTAAAAGATTTTATTTATTTATTTGAGAGAGAGCGCATGAGCAGGGGGAGGAGCAGAGGAGGAGGGAAAGGGACAAGCAGACTTTGTGCTGAGTGTAAAGCCCTACCTGGGGGCTCAATCCCAGACCTCAGATTGTGACCTGAGTGGAAGTCAAGAGTCTGACGCTCAACCGACTGAGCCATCTTGGTGCCCCCAGCTCAAGCATTTTCAGCAAAATCGCCAGGACCCCATAACAGGAACCATAAGCAGGACCCCAGACCCCAGGCAGAGTCCAGAAGGGTGCTAAATCCTAACATGTAAATGTAAGAAGTGATTTTCTTATGGAGGGATCTATGTTCAGGGGAATAAGCCACAAACCCAATGATAGAAATGGTGGCTATAAGAAGAAGTAAATTTCAGGATCTGAATATTAGAATAGTCATCAAAGCTGAAACGCAAGGTCAGAGCCAGGCTAATGACAACAGGGAGTTGATGCTGAGTCCCAGGACTTTGGGTCGACACCTTTTAAATCCTTCTTGCCAATCGACATGGAATTGGGCTTGAGGGTGAGCCTTCAAGGTGAGGAATATGCCCTAAAAGCTCAAGAGAGCTCCAGTGATTAGGAATCTGGCAGGTTCTGGCAATGGAAACTTTTGAAGAAGGAGAACAATATTAATGAAGAGTTGTTATGCAATTAAATTAGTGAAGTGTATGGAAGGAAGCCATCTAAGAGGATACTTCTTAAAATTATTATGGTAGCAAATGAAAGGAAGAGATTCTTGGACTGGGTAGTGGTAGGAATTATACATAGAAAGTATCTATATTTCTATAAAATAAATAGATTGGAATAATACCTGTAATGATAATACCTGTAATGTAATACCTCTTCGTACCATATCTTGGCATACAGACAAGACATGTAGTTGGCCCTTGGTGGCTATACTGCTATTACTTTTATTAAATTGAGGTTTTAACTGGTATATTAATTTTTTAAAATTATGGAGGTCCTAAATAGGCATGCTGTGTCTTATGATTGCAGTTTAAGTGAATGTTATCATGTTTTAAAATGAAAAAACGTTATCTTTTCTTGGTGCTATGAAGGCCATCATACAATTGATGATTAATATTCTGGAGAGATGGTTCAATTAAATTTCTTGTCTATTGATCAGATAAGCACTAAAATTTATGATTGTATTCTGAAATCTTCATTTGTTGCTTTGGGTAACTCTTGGCAAGTGGAAATCTGGAAATTGCCACTTCTGAGTTAATTTAAAAAGAGACCTCTCTTTTGTTGAGTGTCTGTGTTGTTTTTCGTTTATTTTTGTTGCACAAAGAATAACAATTGTATAGAAGTTAATTGTGTTCTTAATTAGAAATAACTTTTTTATAGTTTCTGCAGGTTTGAAATTCAAAAAACTTCCAAGGATGCTCTAAATATTATAGAAACATCTTTTAATTAACTATAGCTGATGGTTAGATTTGTTCAATAACTTGAACTTTTGCATCAAGCCTTTCTTGACCAGAAATGATGAATATGATCATTTCCATTTCTTGCATGGAATTTTCTAATATATATTTTTAAAAATTACGAAGATTCTTTTCATTGTAAAAACCAAAACAAAAAAACATATAACAGTATTGAATATAGACTACTTTTCCTCCCAGCCTTCAAACGATAACTATGTAACAGTTTGATGCGTATTTTTCCCGACTTTTCATGAGGGTTCTACTTATGTAAAAATACATACACACACACATACATGTCTTACACATTCTTCTCCCTCTCCTCTTCCTTCTCCCATTCACCTTACCTCTTCTTCCTCCTCTTGTCTCTTCCTCCTTAACAAGAGTGTGGTGATAATGACAACAGAGGGAAGGCTTTGTTCTTTGTTCTCTCCGTTATTGAATTTCACTCTTTGGTGGAGCTTATTGTCCTTGTCCTTCCCTCCCCTTGCCCACCACCAAGGTTCAATAAATTCAGGCTATGCTTTGCTTCTCTTTATCCTCAGCAGCCAAACTAGGAGCCCTCCCAGAACAAATCCTCAACTATGTAAAAGACAGCAGTTCTGGGTGTTTCTCCTGGGGACAGCGAGCTAAGCAGCCCCAGTTCTGGCCTCCCTGGTGATTGGCTGAAGGCCCAGAGGGGCTTTTTGTACCAGTTCATTCCAAGTGTGAAGTTTCTCTGGGGTTTCCTTGGGAAGTAGGTTCTTTGTAACATTTTTCTTGTGTCTGTTATGGGTTGAAATTTCTTCTGAGTAGTTATCTATCATTTCAACCATGATTTCTAATCGTCTAGAATTCTGAAAAAAAAAATGATGTATTGATAGCAGAACTTCCTTTCTTTTCTGCTCTCCTGTCATTTCAGTGGAATTTAGGTACACAGGATGATTTAGTCAATTATTTGAACCTCTCAGGTGCCTAGTCTTTTTTCTGTTTCTGGTCTAGGTTTTTTGGAAATTCTTTTAGGGTTCATTTGCTGTTCCTCTGGCTTATATTATAAATTGTAATTTTTTTCCTTCCAGTTTTGGATTTAATATTAATCATAATTAGGTCATTGATAGCACATTGTTCTCTACATGCAGAAATGACACCATTACTTAACAAATTTTTTCTTACTGCATTTATGGACCTCCACAAGGTATTACTGCATTAGGCAAATTAACAATGTGAAATTCACTTTTAGAAATATAAATAGACTTTCATTTGATATCTATAAATGTCACTATCTGTAATATATATTTGTATTTTATTTGCCAGGTGACTGAATGTTGTCAGTTTCCTTTTTCAGTATCTAGATCAGTTGGAGATATAAAAAACGGGCACATGGTACTCAATGTATCTTAAAATAATTTCTTCATTACTATTAGAAACAAATGAGTGGATCAACATTTTTAAAATTATTTGTCATACAACAGCATATTTTTTAATTTTGTCTCAGGAAGGAGAAAACATTTTCTATTTGGCAATTGAAGATATAGAAACAGATACAGAGCTGCTGATCGGCTACCTGGACAGTGACATGGAGGCCGATGAGGAAGAACAGCAAATTATGACAATGATCAAAGAAGGGGAAGTTAAAAATTCTAAAGGACAATCAACAGCTGGCAGAAAAGGTATTGCCTCTAACTGGTGATCTGAGAGAATGGAAGTTGTAGGAGAAATACAGTTTGAACTGCGGGTGTATTATAGTTGCATTATCATAGGGTGTTATCAAAATAGTTGTGGTTAGAACTACTCTCAGAGGATATCTGGCTGTAAGCCCATCTTTCTTCCAGCAGGAGGAGAATGGAGGGCGTGGGTGATAGATGTACCCTATAGGACAGCTAAGGTCAGTGCCAGCTCCTAGCTCTCACTGCTCTCCCTGGTATGTCTGGGGTGGCGAGCAATGAGGAATTTTGTACTCCAGCCCTGAATCTGCCACTAGTCAGTCTTGTAACTGAGCAAGTCACTAACTCTTGGAGACGTTACGTTCTCGTCTGCACATGGGGAAGGGCGAGTGCAGAGGTGTCCAGAAGGCACTGCTAGATGGACCCTCTGGGATTATTCCTTGGCCTCCCTCTTGTTAGAGATCCTTGGAGAATCTGGAGCTTCTGGAAATCTCTTTCTGTTCTGACTGTAGAGGCCTGCAGAACTGTTAGGTTGTTTCAGCTGGGTAACCAGAAACTGTGTGGACTGTAGGTCTGACCCGCTTCGATCAGGCCTGCAATCCAGGGATGTCGCTTGTTTGCCATCTGCTGGGGAATAATCAGTTATTATTGGGACTCGTTTCTGTTATGTTGTTTTTTACTCCTGCTGGGGTTTGAAAGAAATACGAATGATGTTATAGGTATTCACATTTTGTAATGGGCTGAAATTTACCAGAGGGTATTTTTCCATTTTGTTTAGCAAAGCCATTTCATAAGTGACACTAGTTTCTTTAGTCACCATGGTCGTAATGTGTTTCATATGAATTTCCTATTCGAACTGTATGTTACTGGCTGAGAAAGTATAAGGATTCCCAGCATTGCCAGCCTCTGCTTGTGTTTTTTTATTTTAGTTGGATTATTTAAGGGGAAGATGGGGACAGGCTTTCTGTTCTATCTTTCAAATATGCATTTTGCAGTTTTGCATTTCAGACTTTGGGTGATGGCGACTATTTCTGATTATTCTGTGTTTTCTTTTTGAGGGGTATTTATTTATTTATGTGAATTACAATATTACTGACTATTCCCTATGATGTACTTTTAGTATTTACTTTATTTATTTATTTAACAGAGAGAGAGAGATCACAAGTAGGCAGAGAGGCAGGCAGAGAGAGAGGGGGAAGCAGGCTTCCTGCTGAGCAGAGAGCCTGATGCAGGGCTCGATCCCAGGACCCTGAGATCATGACTGAGCCGAAGGCAGAGGCTTAACCCACTGAGCCACCCAGGTGCCCCAGTATTTACTTTTTTAATGTCACACCCCCTGGGCATGTTATTATTGTGTCCACTATTTTAGCTTAAAAATGAGTCTCCTGCTTATTTATTATCATCCTGATTTTTCTTCAGTTAACAAATACCAAATTCCATTACTTTTGTAAAAATAATCAACAGAAATTTAAAGAGACTTAAAACGTATGAATCAGGTACTTACATTATTAATATTATTGCTATTTTTATTTTAGAAATTAGTTTTTATTAATAAAAGCAACTCGCCCAGTAAAAACCCAGAACATACATCAACAAACCCACAACACAAAAGAAACAAATAATCCACTCAAATGTCAAACCATGGAGAGTTTAGTTAAATAATGTGGTATGCTATTTTTTTTAATTGAGAAAATGTTGAATGGAATAAAGAGACGAAATTGCATAAAAAGTATAATCATAAATGTAATTATCAGCTGTGCGGAAGATACGAATGGACAAAAGACAAATCAGACTTGAGAATATATTAAGTGGTTTTCTCTTCCTTACAAGGGTTCTTGGTCATTTTTATTTTCTTCACATTTTCTAAATTTTCTAAATCTCATTTTATTTAATAAAACTTTAATACAGGAAAAAAAATCTGTAATGTAAATAGTGTACTTTGAGAAATTTGGGTGGATCTGTGACGGTCCATAGGGACTGACAAGCTAGAGACGCAGTGGAGCCTCACTACACCTACCATAATGAGTGCTGTTTTTATGACCTTGGTCTTTTTCACATGTATGTGAGATTCCCCTTGGTGATTCCACGTCGTTTGCCTTGGTTGGATTTTTTTCTCCTTGTGTACTCAGTGAACTCAAGATGACCTGTCTTATGGAAAGTTTTTGCTTTCTCATTCAAAGTTTGTAATATCTCTTTGATGTGAAAAGTGAACATTATAGGGTAAATTAACAATTGATTTTGATTTTGTGTTAATTTGCTGGAAGATGAGAAAGGAATTAAATGATAATGTATTTCTCTCTAGTAACACTTCCTATTATTTTTCATGGACAATATTATTAATACTCATAGAGATAAGCATTTATTATTCTGATATTGTTAAACACAATTTTGATTTTAAAATGAAGCTAAAATTGAGCAATTCTTGGCTCTTAATTTTTGTCTTAATAAATCTGTTTCCTTGTCAATGTGCAGATTGCCTTGGCCGTAAAGAGGACTACGCTTGTCCCCAGTGTGACTCGAGTTTTACCAGCGAGGAAATTCTTGCTGAGCATCTTCAGACATTGCACCAGAAACCTACCGAGGAGAAAGAATTTAAGTGCAAGAACTGTGGGAAGAAATTCCCAGTTAAGCAGGCTTTGCAAAGACAGTGCGTATAGCAAAGAATATCAAAATTATAAGCTAATACTTCTTTAACTATTCCATTTGATTTGTTTTACAGTTTCTAACTTGTGCATGTGCGTGTGTGTGCGTGTGAGAGAGATAGGGAGGGAGGAAGATAGTAAATATTCTATGTTGTCATTGTCGTTAACTTATCTTAGTATAGTATGTTGATTTTGAAACATTCTGATTATGAACTTCAACGAATGAGCATTGTTTATGCTAATAAGTCTTTGTCCATTTAATTATTTGCCATTAAATATCAAGCTCATTGGTTTACTAAGTTGAAATTCAGTTATGCATAATTTAGTGCTCTGAGGTTACAGATCAAGTTTCAGTTGTCTACGTTTGATCTTCTCAGAAATCAGTAAAAGAAAAGGTTAAGAACTGGAGAGAGTTCAGAGTATCAAGGAAATGGACATTTTGGAAAAGAAGCACTGTTTATTTCATGACAACTTAAGAGGAACAATTTAAAGATGAATAGATATAGGATATGACATTAAGATGCATTAAATGATCCCACACATTGCTCTGCATCCTTTATTATCTTGACTTTATATTAATAGCATATTGTCTTTTTACTTAAATATTTTACACTCATTAAAAGTGAGAGGTAGATACGTGTATTTTTCTTTTAAGAATGTCACTTTGGGGCTGCCTGGGTGGCTCAGTGGGTTAAGCCTCTCCCTTCGGCTCAGGTCATGATCTCAGGGTCCTGGGATCAAGTCCCGCATTGGGCTCTCTGCTGGGCGGGGAGCCTGCTTCCTCTTCTCTGCTTGCCTCTCTGTCTACTTGTGATCTCTCTCTGTCGAGTAAATAAAAATCTTAAGAAAAACCGAAACTGTCATTTTGTATATGAGCAAGAAATCTTTAATAGAGACTTACTATTTCATTTTTTTAATTCATTAAAGTAAAATTCTGAAGCATGCTATATTTTATATTAAGATAATTTTCACATATTATATGCATCCGTGTTGCTTATGAAATTTGCGATGAAGAATTTCTGCTCAAAACTTAAAAGAACTTTTAAAATAGCAATAGATTAAACATTTGGAAATTCTGTTATAGGCTTTTGGGGAAAAAAAAAAAAAAAAACATGGGCTATATACTTTTTAGTGAATAGACTTTAAAACTGTAGTCCGGGGGCGCCTGGGTGGCTCAGTGGGTTAAAGTCTCTGCCTTTGGCTCAGATCATGATCTCAGGGTCCTGGGATAAGCCCTGCATCAGGCTCTCTGCTCAGCGGGGAGCCTGTTTCCCTTCCTCTCTCTCTCTGCCTGCCTCTCTGCCTACTTGTGATCTCTGTCAAATAAATAAAATCTTTAAAACAAAACAAAACAAAACAAAAAACCTGCAGTCCAAACTCCTCATATCCGTCTGTACCTACGCTTTTCTCATGTGTTTAATTTGCCCTTGGCTTCTGGGCTTTTATTGAATCTATACCAAATATACTTTTGCTGAGCTGGGTCTTACAATGAAATGAGGTACTGGTTAAAATTTTACAGGGCAAAAGACAGAGTGAAAACAGATCACAAATATGATTCTGTTTAAAGTAGAGAGATTTTCTTAAGTTTTTGTCTTACATTTCCAGTTTTTATTTATTTGTTTGTTTATTTGTTTGTTTTTCTGTCTTCCCTCAGTGTTCTTCAGTGCCCGGCGAGAAGCAGTCTGAAGGAATCTTCACGAAGCTTTCAGTGCTCCGTTTGCAGTTCTTCCTTCAGTTCAGCTTCGAGGTTTTGTGTCTTCTCAGATGGCTGTTACTTAATTGTGGGTCATTTTTAGCATGTGTGCTTTCCATGCTTTGTCGTGACTTAGTATCACGAGGCTGCAGTGGGAATTTAAGTGTTTCCTTTTTACCTGCCCAGGTAGTGCATGAAATGACCCAGAAACTCTGCTAGAGAGCTCGCGTTGCAAAAGCTTGGCCATAATGTAAGAATTCGTTAAGTATGGCCTCACCATCTCTTCTCCCTTTTCCCCTTGCCTGGTTGTCTTGCAGTTTTGAGCAGCACCAGGAGACCTGCCGGGGAGATGCCCGGTTTGTGTGCAAGGCCGACAGCTGTGGGAAGAGGCTGAAGAGCAGGGATGCTCTCCGAAGACACCAGGAAAATGTCCATGCTGGTGAGAAGTCCCTGCAGGATCGTTCTTAAACGATCTCTGCCTGCCTTCTCTAAAGGGGAGAAGGGGCCTTCTCTCCCCGGGCTGCAGTGATCTGTTTTTAATTCTTGCTCTCAAGGAGAGAGCTTGCTTTTCCATCGGACTCACACAGATGTGGAGCTCTGGCAGGGGACTTTTTTCTTTCACTGAACACTGTTTCTTGTTCAAGTTGATTTCGGCAGTATTTGTCATTTTTCCTATGTCTAAAGTAATCATAGCTGGAAACCTAAGCTAGAACCTACTGGAGCTTGGTAGGGAGGTGTATTAAGAATTAATATTGTGACAATTTACAGGTGAAATACGAAATTTCTCTTTACGGAAACATATTTTAAAACTCTTGCGTAATGCTCTCATGCCTTAATATTTTTACAGTAAAATTCCATTTTTTAAATTTATATTCTTCTATATTGGAGAAAATTACTGCATTTTGACGTGGGAATTGAATGTGTTTGAATTATTAAAGCAGATACTATTTGAATGCCTTCTAATGGGCAGCTAAACAATAAAACAAAGACAACAGTTGACTGTCACTTAGATTGTATCTGTTTAGCACATGGTAAATGTATTTTGGCTCAGGGACTAAATCTATGGCGCGGAGTTGAACAGATGGCTGTATTGTCAGAGTTAACTTTTCGCTTCCTCAGTGTCTTTTCCTTAAAGGAGGCCGACCTTCGTGGAACTCCTCATATCCGTCTGTACCTACGCTTTTCTCATGTGTTTAATTTGCCCTTGGCTTCTGGGAAATGTGTGGAAAGATGTCTTTCTGAATATTGTTTATTCTCACATGCGTGAAAACAGGATAATCAGTACTCAGCCTCCATATCCTATGCTCATTGTCCAAAAAGTATCTCCTTTAATGTTAAAGTTATATAGAAGCGACTATGAGTGTGACTGCTGGCTCCCACTTGGCATCCCTGGGTGGGCCTCGTACTACGTCTGAGCTCTGTATGGAAGTTCTAAGGGGTAGAAAGGATGGCTTGCAAAATACAGCTTCAGGATGCTTTCAGTAGGACTTTACAGTGTTCTGACTTCTTTTTTTCCTTTTGAAGAATATACGGGTGATTTAGGGAAGATGGCATTTTCCTGAATTCATTATACTTGGGCCTTCCCTGTGCTTACAAAAGGCAGGCATAACTTTTTGATAGACCTGTCTTCGTAGTTTTTTTTTTTTTTTAAGCTGTTATGTTTAAAATGCTGTTCTTAATTTTCTCCATCCTTGTCTGCAATGTATTATAACAAATCTTTCATGTCATTTTTAAAGTTAACTTTGCTGAACTAAGTAAAAAACCAGATGCATACTGAAACTCTGGAAACTTGCATTCTTGTCATTGGGCATGTGGTCTTCAGGCTGTGTTATAAGCATAATTTCTTTGAGGCTTCTTGTAATTGGCCTTGAATATTATAATATTACTGATTCTGGAAATTCATGTTGACTTTGTAGGAAATAATTTATAAGAGGAATTTTTTTTATATTTCTATGTTGTGGAAACATACAAAATATGGAATGTACTATTATTAATTAGAGGTTACTATATGTACCTTTTGTTGGGATCAGTACATAATAGGTCTCTCATTTATAGCCCCTCTTTTGCTTCTCCCCTTTCTTCAGTGTGATACACAAACATTTGGAGGAAGAATATTTCACATTCAGAATAGCAAAGCAAAGCAGTGTTCACACACATGATTGTAGAATGCCTGGTAGCACACCTAACCCATATTGTACTGAAACTCACAGTACTTAGATGACTATGTATTCAGTATGGTTGTATTAATTTCTCATACATCTTCTACCATCATAAATAATGTGTTCCTGAATGTTTTTGAAAGTTGAATCTGAAAGTCAAAAATCAGATTTACCTTAATATAGCAAAACTAAAATAGTATAAAGTGTAGTTACGGTTTGGTAGAAGCTCTTGTCCTTCAACCTAGGGAAGCTGGTAGAGTGGTGAGGACCTTCGAGTTATCCAAGAGGAAACAGAGGAAACATAGAAAGGCTGGACTTCCTTAACCCACTTCCATTTTTTTCTTCTGTTTAGGTTCTGTGGATACTAAAACCAAGAGGTTTTGTATTTATGGGAGATAACATTTGTCTGTACTCTCAGGCAAATTGTCATAAGCTTTACAAAAAATTTTTTTTTCTCAAAAGAACTGGGATTTTAGTCCTAAGATGAAGAATAGAAGACATGAGGAGAAAAGGAAAGGTTGCAGGGTAGGGATGAGGGTATGGTATACTGCCTATGATAGCTGGAGGGACAGTGGCAGGAAGATGAAAGTAAAGTAAGAGGTATGGTTGGGGATGTCTCACTTCTTTTTCTCTTCTCTCCCTCAGCCTCTGACCTATCTGTTTGGAAAGGATAGGATCTAGTCTCAAGGGGCAGCTGGTTTGACGGATAAGATAGAGCAATAAAAGATTATGGATTGAAGGAGGGAAATGCCAGTTAGTAGGAGCTGGAAAAGAAGGAATATTCTTTCTCAATCGACCTTCATGTATTCAGTCTATATGTACAGAGAATACTGATTTTGTTTGTGAGAATTTTCTCCCTCAGTAGCCAAATTACTTGTCAATCACTAAGAAAAATTTTCTTGGCTCTAATATTCAGCATGCTAAAAATAGTGCTATTATTTTTGAAATAAGTAACTTGAAGGATAAGACCAACATTGATATTTTTCTTTTTCTAAAAGTGTTTTCCTTTCATAAACATAGTCAGATGATAAAATCATTCTATAAAACTTTAAAAAAAATTTTTTTTTTTCCAAAATAATAGATAAATGGGGGAGGAGATGGAGTTGCGGAAGAGGCAGGAATAGCCTCAGATTTGTCATTGCTGGGGCCAGGTGATGGATACATGGTAGTTCCTCATATTATCTTTTACTTTTTGTATATTTGAAATTCATTAATTACACATTAAAAAAACCCACTCCAGTTATTTGTGGTAGTGCAGATGGTACTATTATTACGTCATATTTGAAAAAATGTTTTATTGAGTCTTCATTCCTATTACCACTGTGAAATTTGAAATTTGAAATGAACTACTATAATCACTATGTAGGAAGACACAATTGGGCTTGTTTTGATTTGTATATTAATATGAATGCCAGTCTAATGTTTTATTGTATTTGATTTTATTTTCTGGTTTTTAATATTAATATGAGAAAGTATATGTTCATAGATTTTGCAGGAATCTAGTTCTGGAAAGAATAATCTATGAATTCCATCTTAAGAAATCCATATGATTAAATGAAATATTCTGTTAAAATTTAAAGCAAGTAGCTCAACTTATGAGTTAATAAATCCCATAAGTTTTTTTATAAACACATTTGATTAATTTCAAGTACAATTTTCCATATAAGTATGCTTTTAAAAATTTTACGTTAGTTTATGGAAAGGTGAAAGACTATTTAATTTATGTAGAAAGTGGTATATCATGCTGAATATTTTTCAAATTTAAAAAGAAAGGGTTTAAAATGCAGTTTAATGGATGTAATTATAACCCTGAAAGTTTTAAAATTCTAAGATGAAATACCTGTTTAGAAATTATGTATCACCTAGAAGCATTGTATCTGATGCTCCTTCTAATTTTCTCATTTAAATCATGACAGCATTTTATTTTCATTTTAGGAGATCCTAAGAAAAAGCTCATATGTTCAGTGTGCAATAAAAAGTGTTCTTCGGCATCAAACCTGCAGGAACATAGAAAGGTCAGTAAGATAAAGATTAATGCTCATCAGAATATAAGATCTTTTAGTCATTTATAGTGTCTGCCATGAAAATTTTTAGTTGATTTTTTTATACTTACAGAGACAGAGTTTTGTCATTAATTTATATACTAACATATTCTAAAATGCAAGACCAATAATGCAGAAAAGTAAGCTCTTGCAAAAATAAATTTTGAGTTGTTTATCACTCAGAATTAGTAGAAATATTTCTCCAGCGTGAAGTGTGACATCTAGTTGAGCCTGTCACTGCAACACCTCATCCTGTTTCTAGCTTTGTCAGTTGCTGTTTGCTCAGGAAATACCATATATTTGATGAAAACATATAGTTCTGTGCATTTATAATATGCACCGTAATAGCACTTAGCTATTAAACGGATGCATATTATGGTTAAATCTGGCAAAACAAAAACAAGAGCTCCATTGTTTTGAAGAACTAAAAATAATGTACAAGTATGTCAAAGGGTTGTTACCAGGAGCGAATGGTTATATTTGCAGAAAATAAATTTAATACATTTTGTAATAAGCATAAAACTTACTAAGTTACTCTTTTTATGTGGAAATTTAACCTGAAAAATACACTGTAATTATTAACCCTAACAACAGTAGCCCTCATTAATAGAATTTAAAATAGAATAGAACTAAAGTAGAATTGCAATTTTTGTTTTTATTATAGCAAAGTCTAGAAAAATTCATACTATATCATGTTGTCTTATATTGTAATAACAAAGAGAAATGATTATTATATAATTTCACATGTTGTCAGAATATCTAAGAACATATAATTTAATATCGAAGAAGAGAAGAGATGGTACTAGTGAATATAAAATTTTACTTTTCTTGTGGTTTACAAAATTAATTTATCTTTTTATTTGTATATTGCTATATTCCAAAGTAATCTGACAGACATTAAAGTTCATATGATATTCAATCTGATAGCTCTAACCATGTGCCATGGATTAATCTACAAACACGTGAGATAGTTAGATGGAAAAGATGTCTGAGGTTATATTTTATATGTTGGGTGATTGTGATCCTCAGGGAGAAATAATGGAACAAACAGTGGACTGAGACTGAGGACAGTGGGTGTCATCTTCTTCTGTCCCTAACACTCCGTGTACATGGGGTCTCTGTTCTCTCTTTTATTAAATATGACTTGGAACTTTTTTTTTCTCTGAGTACCATGAAACTTTTTTTTCTTTTCAGTTTGCAAATGGTTTTCTTAAGGGATTGTTTAAAAATTATAGAACACTTGAAGAATTTGTACATAATTCTTGTGCACAGACCATGCTTATCTTCACTGTATCATTCCAGTTTTAGTACTTGTACTGCTCAATTTACCGGCATGGCTTCTGAAGAAAAACCTGGTCCAAGACAAAAAGATTAAATCCAACTGAATAGATATTTTCTAAATGTCTTTGTACTCGTACGTATTTCCGGGCTGTTTAAATCTTAAGAAGTTGAAGTGTAAGATATTTTGCCAAATTAAAGATTTTGCCCAATAGAATGTTTCAGCAAAGTTGGTTGTAGGGCATATTTCTGAAAAATGTTCTACTTTCCATTTATTTTTTTCATAATACAAGAATGTTTTCCCCAAGGAATATTTTGGCAGATCTAAATACTACCTGGTGGTGGTAGAACAGAGCACCCAAGTTATCTCTGCAAAATGCTATTAACTTATTAGGTGAATGTGGCACTTCATTCTAGCATGGCTCCTTTAACTTAGCTTTTCAGAACCCATAGGCAGCTTTTACTGGCTACCATTTTTGACTCTTAACAGCCGCTATGTTGAATGTCTAATAGAGTTTGGTTGCAGTATTTTCCCTTGCCAGTAGAGGGTGCTTTATGAATATGCCAAATTACATCATAATCTAGACTGGTATCTTAATTACTGTATACTATCCTGTGTTACAGTTAGACATATTATGATCCTTCTTGAAAATCATCTAACTAGGGACTTCAGATTATAAGTTATTACCCACCATATCAATTAGTAAGCTGGAGATTTTGAAAATTGTGCTTTATTTAGCATTAGGCATAAATAAATGGTGTTATTACCTGTCCTTTTCACTTGAAATATGATTGTTTTATTCAGCTTTTGGGAATTTTTAAACATAGCTTCGACCTGAATTTTCCACTGTAAGTAAGATAGTCAGTACAAAAATGCTTTCCTGTAGAGTGAAAATTCTATTTTGTGATTATGGAAAATCAGTTCAATTGAACCTTTAAAAATACTTCATGTTTCAGGAGCCACTAGAGTTAAGAAGTGAACAAGTATGGGCACTATGCTGCAGTATTTTATTTAACAGTTAACATTTTATATATGGATGAATGATTTTAAAAATTTAGTTATTAATATAAATTTCATATTAAAATGAAAATAAACTAAATGTATTTTCATTTATGTGTGGTTTAGAAGGCACATCATCTTTTTTAAAGGGTATGTTGTTATTATAAAAGGCACATCTTACAGAAACAAAGAGTTTAAGCATAAGAATCTCTTCATACTGTCTTTAAATAGACATTACCCATAATATCATTGCTGCTTAAACATAGTTGTTCAACCAAAGCCATGGTGAGGGTCTTTGATGATTGAAGAGGCTGTCTTTAAAATGGCTCAGCCTGAAAGTTTTTCTTCTGTACTGCATAGTTCTTGCTTTCTGAGTACTTGCGCAGAGCCCACATTGTTTTCTGAGGAATCCTAGAACTCTCTGGACTCCATATATTCACTGACTGAGATGAGGTGGCACTGTATGTAAGTGGGGATGTAAGTTAGAGTCCAGTGGAATGACATCGTTCTGCCTGTGCCTTGTTTATCTACCTTTTCTCTGCTCTTCACAGATGAGGTAACTGACTCACCAAGAGTCAGGGCTGACCGAAGCAGAGGGTGGGTAGGCAGTCTCAGACCTGCCGTGTGATTGAGCACAGAATTAAGGCACAGACTCCAGACCTGGGATCTGTTAACTTTCCCCTAGCTTTTGTTTCCCTGCCTTATCCTTTCTTTTTACTCTCTCTGTCTTGAGCTCTTCCATGGCCACTTAGATCAAGAGAGTCACTCACTAGAATGCAACCCAAGCCTCCCCTCATGACTCACTGCTGTTCCAGTTCATGGTCCTCTGCCTTGATTTCTTTTCAGGGGCCCTACTTATGCTGCAGGGATAAGCGTAGTACCCGGCTTTCTGCGGAAGGGCCTTTGCTTCTCTGATGTTTAGTATTGTGAGCTCTACCTTTCATGAGGTTGAAACAAGAGCACTATTTTTGAATCTTTGGCAAAACAAGGATGCTTTTGTTCATTGGGGCGGTTGATATTTCTCATACAAGACTTCTTGCAGTACATTCCTTTTAGAACTTTTTGCATTGTTTCTGATCATAAACTGGGCTTCTACTTTTTCATACCACCTATATGATTTCTCTGATGTAGCGTCTGGGAGGGAAAGCTAAATTTAATATCCAATTATAATAATTATTTAGCCAGTTGTTTGCTAAGGTTATGCTCCTCCTCTTCTTACTCATTATGGTTTTTGAGCTTTTCTTTCTTTCTTTTTTTTTTTTTTTAAAGATTTTATTTATTTATTTGAGAGAGAGAGAGTGAGAGAGAACATGAGAGGGGAGAAGGTCAGAGGGAGAAGCAGACTCCCGCAGAGCTGGGAGTCTTCTGTGGGACTCGATCCCGGGACTCCAGGGTCATGACCTGAGCCAAAGGCAGTGGCCTAACCAACTGAGCCACCCAGGCACCCTGAGCTTTTCTTTTTATTGTGGCCTTCCTGTCATGTAAGAAGCTCACTGTGAGCTAAATGTATTTCCGAATCATGTATCTTCTTGCCTTTCATGGTAAATAATGTTTTGTTCTGTACTATATATATTTAAATATAAAATAGTTAGACTACTGTAAAGGGAATCTTATTACCTATAGGTTACATATTTCCAAATCTAAATTTGTGCATAACAGAGTTAATGGATATTAGGTATAACTTCTTACAGAGTGTAGAAATGTAATATGCACTAAATGGGTCAGCTATTTAACATATTTAAATAGTGTGCTGCAATCTTGTATTTTATTTCCTTTTTTTAAAAATTTTATTTATTTATTTGAGAGAAAGAGAGAGGGTGGGGAGGGAGAGTGAGAGGGAGAAGCAGACTCCCGACTGAGCAGGGAGCCCAATGCAAGGACAGATCCCAGGATGGATCAATGACCTGAGCTGAAGGCTGACACTTAACCAACTGAGCCATCTAGGTGCCTCTCCAATCTTGTATTTTCTTTTAATGATGTTTTTACTTGGTAACATGTTCATTGCATTTTCAATTTATATAAGACACTGTGAACAAATAAGGGCTGAATTGTAATACATTGATATTACAGTAACAGCTATCCACATGTTTATACTTTTGCTCTAATTTATTTGGCTTTGACAGTTGACTTAACTGTCCACTTAACCTTTTGCAGATTCATGAAGTATTTGATTGTCAAGAATGTATGAAGAAATTTATTTCAGCTAATCAGCTAAAACGTCACATGATCACTCACTCAGGTAAAATATATATTTTCCATTCAAACTGAAATCACTGTGAAAGATTCGCTTTGTCATTTTCGGGAGCTCTGAGAGTAGTAATCAGGAGACCTGGCTCTTAGTGCTAGATTGGTCATTAACTAGTCATGTGATTTTGAACAAGTTACGTAGCCCCTCTAGACCTGTTTATTTATAAAGCCAAGGTGGTTGGACTAAATGATACACAAAATCTTCAGAGTCACCATTTAATTTTTAATCTACTCCTGTTTGAACCTTAGATTCTGTTCTTTATCTGTGAAAAGGTATCCTACCTTTCAAATTTGCTGTGAAGATTAAATGAGATCATCATGTATTGTGCTAGTGTAGTGTTTGAATTTTAGGAGGAATTCAGCAATTATGGTTTCTACCTTTCTACATACTTTTATATTCTAACTAAGGTACTGATAAATGTTAATGAGAAATTTATAAATGCATTTTGAGAATATGTTTTTAAAGCTACAGCTTCACTTTAAGCAAGTTTGAGTAATAGGTCTGTTAAACAGATTTTTCAAAAATTAGGTCTGAGAATAAATTTTGTTTTATGAAGTATCTTTCTGTGGTTTAGAATGTGTCATTGGAGGCCATTGAAGTCAGAATGTTTTTGAATATCCACTTTTCTTGGAGACAGATATAGATATTTTGACAAATGAAAATAGGAGATCAGACACCCGTGGTCTGTTCAGATATGCTTTGTTTGAAACAAACAGTGGTTTTTAAATCTGGTGATCAACATTACATGAACATGGCACAAATATGGATTTTATACAACAACCTAAGTGTGTCGTTTCTGCTGAGAATTGAAGTTGTGCCCATATGGGGTCCACTTGTTTGAGTAGCAGGCAGGTCTGTCTGTTACTTTTATCACTGTCAGGCCACTCTTGACATTTGGAATTGTGACTTTGGTTTAAACTCACACCTACTAGTGGATTTTTCATCCGGAAGTAGGGTTTTTTCTTTGAATTCAAATTTTATCCTTAGATCTCAGCTGCTTTATGCATGTAGTTTACAATATGAGTCTATAAGAGAACTAGCTCACATTTCTTTTGTGAATAGGCTCCTATATCTAACAGAAATAGATTGGTAAGTAGATTCTTTTTCTCAGTTGTTTCAATCATGTTTTGGTCGACTTATCCCTCAGAAGTAGTGTAAGGTAAGGCTATTTCCCTTTTTATCCTTTACCTTTATATAGATATGAGATTGTCTCCACTCATTTTTCACAGAAAAACGACCCTACAATTGTGAGATTTGTAATAAATCTTTCAAGAGACTCGATCAAGTGGGTGCCCACAAAGTAATACACAGTGAAGATAAGCCTTACAAATGCAAGCTTTGTGGAAAGGGATTTGCCCACAGAAATGTTTACAAGAATCACAAGAAGGTAAAACCTTATTAATATTATTATTATTTTTGCTGAGTTGCTGATTTGATTTCTAATCATTTATTTTTTAAAGGGTTTTTTGTATATCTGGACATGCTGTACATGTGGAATAGTTAGAGGACGATGTTGCTTATATTTTGTAGCTCCTCACTCATGCCATAGCCCCACCTCCTTGTCTTCCTCCTCCTGCTGAAACTGTTCGTAGAGCAAAGTGTCATCCAGTGTTTCCCAGTGTTGTACTAATTGCAAAGTCTTTTCTTCTTTTCCTTTTTTTCTCTAAAATTTGACACCCTTGTTCATGGCAGCTTTTTTGAAATTCTCTTCATCTTTGGTGTATACTTGGCTAGGTGTTCTGCCAATTTCTCTGGACACTTTCGTGTCTCCTCCCCCAGGAGGTGGACTTCTTCTAGGTTCTCTGTGTCAGCTACATCCATGACTTCTGCCATCGACTCTATATCAGCAGATTCCCAAATGATTTCTTTCTTTAACCCAGTCTTCAGACTCACATTTATTTTTCTTTATTTGATACATAACTGGATATCTTTTAACCTAATGAATTTAGCCTGTCCCAGAATGACCTTTTCGTTCTTTATGCCCCAGATAACATCTCTTGTGGAGATTCTCCTTTCTGTTAATGAGAGAAGCATATAATTACTCCTGTCTGTTTCTTTAGTCTTAGACCCTTTTTAAAATTAGAAGCCAGCTCTTTTTTAAAAATTGGTTTTATTTTTATGTATGTATGTATGTATGTATGTATGTATTTTTTTTAGAGAGAGAAGGAAAGTGACCAGGGGAGGGTCAGATGGAGAGGGAGAGAGAGAATCTTTTTTTTTTTTTTTTTTTTGAGATTTTGTTTATTTATTTGACAGAGAGGTAGAGAGAGAGCACAAGTAAGCAGAGCAGCAGGCAGAGGGAGAGAGAGAAGCAGGCTCTCTGCTGAGGGCTGAGGGCTCTGCTGAGGGGTCGATCCCAAGACCCTGAAATCATGACCAAAGCCAAAGGCAGCTGCTTAACCAACTGAACCACCCAGGTGGCCCAAGAAAGAGAATCTTAAGCAGGCTCTATTCCCAGCGCAGAGCTTGACTTGGGGCTTGACCTCACAACCCTGAGATTACGACCCAAGCCAAAATCAAGAGTTGGAAGCCCAACTGACTGAGCCACCCAGGCACCCTTAGAAGCCAATTTGTAAAGATTTTACCCTCTATATTGGCTCATCACCCTCATGGTCATTCATTCCTTTGCCATCCTATCATCCTGATTATTGCTCATCTTCATTACTTTAATACCCATGTAATTAGATTCTTACTACGTGTCACTTTCCACTTACCCATCCTTGTAGATAAATTTTCCACAGCGCAACTCTGTCACTCTTGTACTCTAATATTAGGAGTAGATTTCCAATGGCTATGTAAGTTATGGTGCATGCATGTTACCCTGTCATTCAGAGTCCTCTACCCATGACCTTAGCTTATTTTTCTAGATTTTTTTCCTTTTCTCTGCATTAGTAATACCTAAGACAATTTGACACTTGCCTTCAGTCAGCATGACCTAACTTCCCCTTCTTCTTTTCTTTCAAGTTTTTATTTTATTTTATTTTATTTTTAGCTAAACTCTTGACCCAAAGTAGGGATTGAACCCATAACCCTGCAGTTAAGAGTTACATGCTCTACCGACTGAGTCAGCCAGGTACCCTACCCCTTCCTCTTTTCTGATAAGACTCCAAGTTATGATCTCTGAGTTTTCTTAATTAATTTTTCTTTGCATTTCCTATGCTTTACCTTTACTCTGGTTCTTATTTCAGAATGTAGTAATTTTATCTTATCTACTCTGTGTTGATAATAAATAATGTTTTAGTTGAATTCAGAAAATTTGTCCAAAGACATTCAACATCTTAATAATGTATATTAAGATGTATTTATGATGTGATAAAAAATTGATTTTTAAAAAATGGTTTTATTGAGGTATAAATGGCATACAGTATTATTAGTTTAGTGTATACAAATAATGATTTAACATTTGTATATATTGTAAACTGATTACCACAGTAAGTCTAATTACCATTTGTCATCATATAAAGTGAATACAATATTATTGACTGTATTCCTTATACTGTACATATATCCCCATCACTTATTCATTTTATAACTGGAAATTTGTGTCTCTTGATTCCCTTCACCCATACTACCCCTAAAACCCCCTCACCTTTTGGCAACCACCACTCAGTTCTCTATCTATGAATCTGGATTTTGTTTTGTTCTATTTGTTAGTTCTTTCTTTCTTTCTTTCCTTCCTTCCTTCTTTTTTTGGATTCCACTTATAAGTGAAATTATGAAGTATTTGTCTTTCTCCATTTGATTTATCTCATCTAGCCTAATACCCTCAAGGTCTATCCATGTTGTCACAAATGACAAGATTTTATTCTTTTCTGTGGCTGAGTAATATTCCATTGTATAGACATGTATTGCATGTTCTTTATACATTCATCTATTGATGGATACTTAGGTTGTTTCCATATCTTGGCTATTGTAAATAATCTTACAGTGAACGTAGGGGTACCTATATATTTTTTTAAATTAGTATTTTGTTTACTTTGGATAGATACCCATCTGTGGAATTGCTGGATCATAAGGTAGTTTGTAATTTTTTGAAGAAATTTAGTACTGTTTTCCATAGTGGTTGTACCAGTTTAAATTCCCACCAACAGCATATGGGGTTTTTTTTCCTACATTCTTTTCACCACTTGTTATTTCTTGTCATTCTGATGATGGCTATTCTGGTAGGTGTGAGGTAATATATTATGTGGCTTTGATTTGCATTTCCTTGATGATTAGTCATGTGATCATCTTTTCCTGTTGGACATCTGTATGTCTTCTTCGGAAAAATGTCTATCTGGATCCTTTTTCCACATCTGGATCCTTTTTCCATTTTTTAATGGGATTTTTTTATTGTTATTGAGTTGCATATGTTCATTATATATTTTGGATATTAACTTTTTATCAGATATATGATTTGCAAATATCTTCTCCCATTCTGTTCATTTTGTTGGTGGTTTCCTTTGCTGTGCAGATGTTCTTTAGTTTGATGTAGTCTTGTTTGTTTATTTTTGCTTTTGTTACCCTTGTCTTTGGAGCCAGATTTGAAAAACATTGCTAAGACTGATGTCAAGGAATTTACTGCTTATGTTTTCTTTTAGGAGTTTTATGGTTTCAGGTCTTACATTCAAGCTTTTAACCCATTTTAAATTGATTTTTGAATATTTGGTAGGATAGTGGTCTAGTTTCATCCTTTTGCATGTGGTTGTCTAGTCTTCACAATACTGTTCATTGAAGAGACTAGTCTTTCCTCATTGTATATTCTTGCCTTCTCTCTTGACCATACATGCATGGGTTTATTTTTGGGCTCTCCATTCTCTTCTATTGATCTATGTGTCTATTTTTTGTTAATATCATACTGTTATGATTATATAGCTTTGTAATATAGTTTGAAATTTGGGAATGTGATACCTCTGACTTTGTTCTTCTTGATCCAGATCGCTTTGGATATTTGAGGTCTTCTGTAGTTCCATACAAATTTTAGAATGATTGTTTCTACTTCAGTGAAAAATGCCACTGGGGCTTTGGTAGCGATTGCATTAAACCTATAGATTGCTTTGGATAACATGGACATTTTAACAGTATTAATTCTTCCAATCCATGAGCATGACATATCTTTCCATTTATTTGTGTCTTCAGCTTTTTTCATCAATGTTTTACAGTTTTCAGAGTACAGGTCTTTCACTTCTGGTTAAATTTACTCCCAAGTATTTTATTCTTTTTGATACAATTGTAAATAGGATTGTTTTCTTGATTTCTCTTTCTGATAGTTTCTTACTAGTGTATGAAAATGCAGTGGGTTTTTTGTGTGTTAATCTTGTATCTTGAAACTTGATTAAATTCATTTATTAGTTCTAACGGCTTTATTGTGAAGTCTTTGGGGTTTTTTATATATAGCATCATGTCATCTGCAAATAGTGACAGATTTACTTCTTCCTTTCAATCTGGATGCCTTTTAGTTCTCTCTTACTAAATTGCTTTGGCTAGGACTTCCAGTATTAAGTTGAAAAAAGGAGAGAGAATAGACATCCTTATCTTGTTACTGATTTTAAATGAAAACTTTCAGCTCTTCATCATGGAGTTTGGTGTTAGCTGTGGACTTGTTATATATAGCTCTATAATGTTGAGCTGCATTCCCTCAATACCCACTTTGTTGAAATTCTTATCATAAGTGAATGTTGAATTTTGTCAAATGCTTTTTCTTCATCTCTTTGGGATGGATGCACGATTTTTAACTTTCATTGTATTAATGTGGTTTATCATGTTGATTGATTTGTGAATATTGAAACCATCCTTGCATCTCTGGAATAAATCCACTTGATCATGGTATATGATCTTAATGTGTTGTTAACTTCTGTTTGCTAATATTGTGTTAAAGATTTCTATGTCTTTTTTTTTTTTTCCTGGTATATTGGCTTATAATGTTTTGTTTTGTTTTTTCCTCATCTCCTCCTCTTCCTCCTCATCTTCTTTTTCTGTGGTGTCACTGTCTAATTTGGGTATCAGGTTAATATTGCCTTTGTAAATTGGTTTGGAAACATTCCCTCCTAAACAATTTTCTTTTGGAAGAGTTTGAGAATGATAAGTATTAAATCTTCTTTGAATGTTTGGTTGAATTCACTGATGCCATCTTGTCCCGGACTCTTGTTTGCCGGGAAGTTTTGATTACTGATTCAGTCTTCTTAGTATAATTTGTCTATTTATTTTTTATTCATGATTTGGTCTTAAAAGTTTATTTCTGGGAATTTTTCTATTTCTTATAGATCATCCATTTTTTTTGCATGTAATTTTTTGTAGTTTTATGATGATTTGTATTTCTGTGGTATCAGTTTTAACATCTCCTCTTTCTGATTTTATTTATAAGAACCTTCTAGTTCACTGATTTCCATTCTGATCTTTATTATTTCC